GGCTTTTATGATTATGAAGAACAATAAAAATTAAATGTGCCAAAAATGCAGAAAGTTTTAAAGTTCAGTAACAGAATTTAGACCAAAAAAATACTCTAATTAAGCATGCAAATTGGAGAAAATCCAGCACTAACACGTGACTTTTTTTCCTGACTGATTGATCGAAATGGGTCTGTAGAGATTCCAAAATAAATTCTAGAAATATTTTTGCTGACTTCTGTTGTATATATAGGCATAAAGTAATGTTAGATTACACTAAAATAAGCCTTTATTACTATTTTCTTATCGGCATCAGACAATTTCTAGTCTAGTTTTAACGCTATCGATGGATATTTACAAAGTGTCTAGCTTTGTCAGCATTGTTTAATTCGAGATAATGGCAATTTAGGAGCATTACTAGAAAGATAACAACATAAATATTTTTCTCTTTCGATTCTTATTTTAGATAATTGTATAAAAATCATCCGTAACCTGTTACGACGACGTGACGTCGAGCAGAATTGCTATTTATCTGTACGGTTGCGTCAGAGTTTGTTTACTATCTGATATCAACGTTTCTACTTACACGTAGACTTGTTATGTCTTGTCTGAGTAAATGGTTGTTTACCGTCCCACTTACATTCAATATAATGGGAAAATTCCGTTGTAAGACTTTCGGTCAGGGTCGAATTTCGCTGACCAAATTTAAGGATTAAGAGAAACTGTCATAAAATACAGAAGCTTTTCTTTCATTTTGAATTAATTTTGAAACTTATCTATTTATATTTAACTTCTAGGAAATATTCTTTCAACATTTTATACAGGCCCTGCTATTTCAGATTCAGTTTATGCAGTACCTAGGACTCCTAGGAGTCGTAGCTTCTGCATAAACAATGTCCAAGGATCCTAAGGATAAGGACTAGTGCATAACTAACTCCTAGGATACCGAGGATAAGAACTAGTGCATAAGGAGTCCTAGGACTTCTAGAAAGCAAATTTAGAATCTAGAATTTGTATAGATCATAGGCATTATTTTCATGATATTCTAGACTCATTTAGGTTTCTATGAGCCTTAATTTTGATATTAAAAATTTATCTAGATCCTAATAGTTGTTCTTTTAATCTAGATTCATTTAAATTACTATTAATCCTTAGATAATCTAGATTGTAAAGTAATTAAAGAATTATTTAGTCTATATTTTATCTAGATTTATAAACTTCAAAGGTAGCCTCCTCCTATGAAAGGATGGAAGTAAGATACATTTAAAGCTAATTTCTAAGGATCTTTACCCGAATATTTTAGGATCAGTAAGGAGTTAAATAGGACACGCTCTAAAAATATAATTTGTATAATAGTTTTACTTTAAGAACAATTAATTTGATAAAAATTCTAGACTTTCTAACATGTTTCATGATTGACATGTGTGTTCATTATTATTATTATTATTATTATGACACACTTTTTATTGAGAATGATTTCACGTTCTCTCACTTACCCCCCCTTACCTTTAGAGTCAGATAAAAAGTTAACCTCATTGCATTCTGCAATATCAGTAGTGCCTTAGGTGAATAATCGTTGTTAAGAAAGCAGGTCGCGACCGAAAACACACATAAAAAAGGTTTGTTGATAGAAAAGTAAAAAAATATTTATTCATTTGCCACGAATTACCCAATTTTTCAACCCTATAAGGAGCGAAAATCGTACGAATTAGCATCGTTTAGAGCAATGCTCTTGAGTTATGGTCAAGATTAAGAGGGCGTGTTAGTTCAGATGGCTCTATTCTGTTTATTTATGCTACTGTTTATTCTTCTATGTAGATTTTTATTAATTTAATTGCAAAACCGAGGCTCTAAAGACTCGCCAACGGCGCTTACTTAGCAAATATATGGGCTGTAATAATTTTAAAGCGTGCGTAGGTTTGTCTGTACCAAAGATTGAAATATAACAAATTTTTAGTGTTTTACGGATTTAAAATAAATTACTATAGGGGAAAAAAACTGCTATTTCGTCACCTGTCTAAGTGCATTTTGTACTGTACTTGGAGAGGTGGCACTAAATTCCATTTTATAGGTTAAAAAAATCGACTTTTGAGCTCTTAATTATGTTTAAAAATCCTGATTTTTGTTAAAATTGTAAATATTTTCGTTCTAATTACGTTTGTTATCATTAAAGAGAGAGAGAGAGAAGCTATTCCTAGAATTGTTTTAAATAAGAATTTAGAGAAAATATTCTTAAAATCATGTCAAAATATTGTTTTATGTAAATGCATTCTTGGAACTGTTCTTTATAAATGAAAATAAACTTAAAAAATCATGTAAATATTTTCCCCTAAGAGCAATTTTTAGGTAAAATGAGGTTAAAATATAGTCTATTTAAAATGCAACTACTGTATTTATTTATTTCGCTTATTTCTGTATCATATTTGAGTTTAAATTAAATAATTTAAGTAACATTTAGCGTGGATTAAAGCGTTAAAATCAGGTTAAAATGAAAATTAAAATGGAAAATATTTATTTATTTTATTAAATTTAACTTTAATTATACTTTTATTAACTTAAACATTATTAATTTAATGCGTAATTAAATTCCACTTTAATTACTTTTTACATAGAGCGTAATTAAAGTAACAACTTTATTAAGATCAAAGCATTAAAATGAAGTTAAAGTAAGTCTTAAGTGGAAAAATATTTATTTATTTTGATTATTTTTTCGTTAAATTTAACTATAAATAAGCAGCAATAACTCAAGAGCAGCTTGCATAAAGCACAATTAAAGTGTCATTTAGCGTAGCCTAGAGCATAATTTTATGCAATTTAAATTATGTGAATGGGATCAATGGGTGTGTGTTTATATATATGTGTGTCCTCTTAATTATTTTTAAATCTGAAAGAGTTGGCAAGAGTTTAATAATGATATAATGGAACTTTGTCGCCCGCCTGTTTGTTTATCTGACCCTTAACATAAAAAAAGTACAATTGGATCTCGTAGAGAAACAGGTCAACGAGTACAGAATAAAAAATAATAATTTTAAAAAAGTTCCACTTAAAAATCTCAAATTGCTTCTTCTACAATAGATTTAATCATAAATAAAACGTATTTTTATCGATTTTCTTTTAATTTATTAAAAAAAAAGTATATTTTCGAATTGAAATAAATCCATGAATATTTTTAAATTAAAAAAAGTCCTTTAGTGGCAATTCAATAACAAATTTCTATACATTTTCTACAGGATCGAACAGATTTTTAATATATTTTTTAAACTAATTAAATCGTTTGATTAGTTATTTAAATAATTTAATTAAAAAACAGTAAGAGAAATTTACCATTTTAAATTTAAATTATATATTTTATGCCTGTAAAAAATTTTTTAATAAATAATTTCTTTACATATTTGTAAAAAAAATTCTAAAAAAGCAAACATATTGGCCTTTTTTAAAATCGTAATATTTAATGAAAAATTAAATGAAATATTTATTTAATTATTATTATTTATTTATTTATTTATTTATAACGCGTAATTTACAATTTAAATAATTATGCGCAATGGGATTAGTTGGTTAAAAATAATTTGCTAATCTTTTCAATAACGTGTCATATGACAAAATGTTTAAATAAGTAATCAGAATTGATTATTAAGAAAAAATTCAAATTACGCGGCGTGAAATTGACAATTTACAGTGAAATTTACAACGAAATTCATTAAAAGAAATTTGATAAAAAGGTTATTTTCATGACACGTGATTAACGAAGTGAAAATGAAAGCGAATAATTTTCATAACAATTAAAGAAATGGATTATTTTAAGTAACGTGAAATCGACAATTTAAAATGAAATTTACAGCAAATTCTTTTCAAAACAGCAAATAAAAAAACTGTTCAATTTCAAGCCACGTGGTAAGTGAAATCGACCGATTTCAATTATCGAAATGGATTATTACTGTATTACATGAAAAATGCTGATTTTATTTACAATTTTTGATGCGTAATGGCTATTTAATAAAATAGAATCAAGAAAACAAGAAAAGTAAGCAATTTAAATAGNTTCGATTAAAGACATAATTTTTTTTCAGGATGTTTGTATCTTGCTTTTAATTGCCTATTTCTCGTTGAAAAAATTAAATTGGCTGATCTTAAGCATGAAAAATGATCATCCAAAAGATATACCTTTGAATGACTTCATATTTATGTGCTTGATAACAGTAGCTTCAGAAATGATAAGACATTTTCAGTCTATACAATGTTTGTTTTTATAAATAGCACAGGCAGCCGTTCAGTTGCCGTACTTTAAATCCTTATGATGGGCTTATAACTTTCCGACTAGATGGCAGCACGACTAATCCAACTCAATTATCTGGCATTGTCATTAGCATGATTGCCTGTGTAGTTTTGTATCCATGAAAATGTTAGTCATGTTACACATCCTATTGCTTACTCTGGTTTTATTTCTGTACACAGTATTATTGCACATCAGCACCACCTGCCTCAAAAATAAACCTGTACCACAGGCCTCAGTAATCTGGCACTCCTCTGTGCAAGGAATGGCTGGATTAGCAAGTCTACTGATGATAAACTCAAAAATAATACCAGTTAGAGCCATTTGTATATTTAGATCAAGCCTGGTAGACCTGTGCATTCACAAATGAAATTACTTAAATATTATTTTGTTTCAGAAGAACAGAAATTATAAAATACTTCTAATTTAATTTTTTACCAACAAATTTTATTAAAATATAATTCTTTAGAAGTTGTGTTCACTATTTACATTACTTAAATATTATTTTGTTTAAAAAAATAAAATAATGCCTGCTTAAAATAAACGTTTTTATTTTAAAAACCCGGAAAAGCAAATTATTAAGGATATACATTTTAAATTAAATATCACGTTTCAAAAAAATAAGACTGAAAGGAAGTTGTTTTATTTTAGGCGCCATTATTTCTGTATTTTTCTCGTATACCGTATTATCATCCATTTTTTTCTTATTAAATGTAATTATCAGATGACGTAAAAGTCGTCCTTGAGTTCTATCCGCAAGGGGGAGCCTTCGTGATAGGTATGGCATATCGTGTGTTTTCTAGGCTTAGCTACCTTAATGGATATTTATACATAAATAAAACGAAAAATAATTATAATTCAGTTTTAAAGTTGTTTAGGAAAGTCTCTTCGTCTACGAATATGCCGAGCAATACGTCGACATTTTTCTTTAGACAGGTAAAATCAAATTTAGACAACTCTGAGAGCTGTCGTATGTCAACTTGCGTAGTTCTTTTTGCTGTAAAAGTCACATAAATTCTGATATAATTCTGTAAAATTAATTGCATTTTTGTTGAAATTTCACTGAAATTTAAAAACAAAATAATAATCATCATTTGTTAAATGTTCTCATGATTGACAGGGTGAAGTAAAGAAAAGTACCTTCACCTTTGTTGTGTGGATTCAAGAACAATTTCTCCAATATACACTCTTTAATTAATCAAGGGTATAATTACACTTGTGAATGAGACGGTTGGAAACTTACCAGAGTTATAGAGCAAAAAAGTCAAATGAACTGCACTTCTATGCATGACGTTTTGTTAGATATGACCCCCAAAATCAGTATACTTCCAGGTTGCAGGTGGTTGGGAATTGCATCACTCCACTATGACTGTTGCATTTAACTGTTCAGCTCATGTAACTCTTCGTGGAGTACTTATGTAGTTTTAGGGTGGTGTGGAACTTGCACCTGTGTTGGTGATGAGGTGTACGACTACGTGTAGAATGTCGGTTGAAGCAAGTGGTGCAGAGCATAGAGGATAAGCAGTAGTACTGGTATATGGTAAAAACTGACCCTTTGAGGAGAATATCTTGCAAAGGGTCGCATGTGTGGGTATGGTTCCTTTGACTTTTTTGCTGGTACAGGAGGGATGGGAAACATCTGAGTTCACATCCTACTTCAATCAAGTTTGTTTTGTTCTCTTTATATCCCATTTCTAGACTTGATAACCAATCATTCCGTGCAATATATATCGATCCTTTGCATTGTGATCTAAATTATAGGTGCAAAAATAACAAAAAAGAAAATGAAAATGCTATCATTTATAATTTGATTTACAAGTAAAACATTTTCAGAGCTTTTTGTTCTGCTTCTGGTGCAGGGCTGTAAAAAGTTTGGTGTGGGAACTGGAAGTAGAATTAGTAGCATAGCCCAGGGAGGTAATCCATCTTGGGCTGCAATTTGAAAAAATTTTAGAGCTATAAATTTCCACTGTCGTCTGTCTGTTCTTCCGTAATCTCGAGAACGGAGTTAGCTAGATGTTAGTTGAGACTAGATATAGTAAGCTTAGAGGCGGGAGGTCCTGTTTAACTATACATGAACTTCTGATGTAAACTGGAAGTTGTGTTGTTTCAATTCTAAAAATTTTCCCCCAAAAGGTGTTAGATGATTGGTGCAACTCTAAATGAAAAGTATGATGCAGAGGGGCAAGCCACTACTAATTTGAGATGGAGAGCATATATTTTAAATTAAATAAATTAAAAATATGATTTAAAAATTGCAACCCGGCATTGTGATGTCACAATAAATAATTGCTCATTTCTTTTGTGTTTTTGTTTATTTATAATAAACAAAGTATCTAAAACTTTGCTGATAATTTCATAATATATTTAAATATCCTTAGAAACTTTCTAAATTAAAATTTAGGCTAAATTTTTTTTTTTGAGAAGTAGACTAAATTTGAATTATAAGTTAACCCAGGGTACCTCTTGATTTTGACTATTAAATTTTTAGCACCAAAACTACATTCTATTGAATTTAATTTTTAAGCTAAGATTTTTTCATTTTTAAACAATTCACTTATTTTAGTTGTTAAAACATTACTATTATCTGCTTGGTTTTTTTTAATCTTTTTAATTTTTCTTTTCATTTCTTTGATATTTTTTCCTGCATATGCAATTAATTTAACTTGAAGTAGAATTATGACAAAGATGAAAGCTATGAGAAAGAAGTCAATAGCATTTAATCATTGTCCTGTTATCAAACTCTGTCCAAATTTTCATCAGTGTTGCAAATGAGTTGACATGGGACTACATAAAAGTGGTGTTCAAAACAAAGTGATTTGTTAAACATAAATGAATGTCTACAGTTCAAATATGCATCTCATTTGAAGGAAGTGCACTTCCTTCAAATGGTCAAGTTTACATCGAGTGCTTGGCAAAATTCAAACTTATACATACGAAGCTCTGCCATTCATTACCAAAGATCTTGAATTTGGGAAGGTGTGTTACCAGAAGTAATTTCAAAAATAAAGAATTCATTGACAAAAGATAGAGAAATTCAAGTCAAAGGTTTATGTAATGGCAAAACTGTTAGGAGAAATTACTGGGTTTCCTGCAAAGTTGAAATCTCTCAAACTCTGCAAGCCTGGAATATATCTTACAAAATATCGACAAATTGAACCTTAAAAGAAATTCCAGGATAATCTATTGCAAATTCTAACATTTTTGATCTTCAAAGGAGATCTTCCTCAGGATTCTTTAAATTGGAATGTGGAAATGGAATGTTTTTAAGAATTATTTTAAAAAACGTATGAATGAATTTTTTAAAAAATAATTCTTAAAAATGTTCCATTTCCGCATTCCAATTTAAAGAATCCTGAGGGAGATCTCCTTTGAAGATTGAAAATGTTAGAATTTGCAATAGATTATCCTGGAATTTCTTTTAAGGTTCAATTCGTTGCTATGTTGAAATCTCTATCACTTGATCTGATGTCAGTTATTACAAGTATTAATCCACCACTGACATACTCAAACATTGTCATTGAGCACTGTGGCATCAGACTCGAAATTAAATCAACAAATGTTCAATTGGAAAATTTAAATTTAAATGAAAAGAAAGCAAAGTGAGGTGTATGGGCAGACCTAGTTATTATGGTGTTCATTTAAATATGTTGATTTAAATACTGCCTGCTTTTTAGCTAAGATTTAAAAAAAAAATGCTTAATTGTATTTATATTTATTCTATCCTCAATCAAATGATGTGAAAATCTTTTATACATTTGTAAATATTTCATTTGATGTTAAACTGCTACAATAATTAATACTTTATCAGTTATATTCAAATTTATATATATGTGTATGTAACCTTGTAGTGTTGGAAAAATTTTATGGAGATTATTTAGTCAAAATCAGGTCTTAAATTTTATCATTTCAAAATTATAATTAATATTTTTTTCATTGCTGTTAAACTATGAATAAACAGGTACATAGGTTTACATATATGTCAGGTATGGCAACTTTTTTGAGTTTGCAAGCCATGTATGTTAGTATATGTAATTATATTTCAAATTATTTATTTGTGCCAAAGTTTTAGACATACAACAACTATTTTTAAAGAAATGAAGTGATTATACTTTAATTAGCATAAATTTAAAAAAGCTATTGAAAAAGGATGATTTATTGAGTTGAAGATAAAATTATAATAAAAAGATTAAGATAATGTTTAAAATTTGTACTGTAATAAGTAAACAAAATTCTGTATGTTGTGTACCAGATATTTTTTTCCTGACATGCCATTTTGGACACTCATGCCATTTCTGCTAAGTTTTATTTAGTGTATTGATACAATAAAATATTTTGTTTATATTTTTCTAAGGTTTAAAATTATAACTTTATTAATAAAAAGAAGTTTACTACTACTACTACTACTACTACTACTACTACTACTACTACTACTANGGCAATAATAATTATCATGAATTTACTTTGTTTTTGGAGGAAAATTATTGTGCTACCAAAAAATAACTACAGACAACTGATATAAACTAAACTCTTATCATCCAACAAAACAGTCTCAAAGGAAATGTTATCCACTACTATTAAGAATTTGCTGAATAACCTTGGATTATTGTTTGAGAGTTGTTTGGTTTATTCTGATGATAGAGCTTTTTTTAAAGGACTGTGAACAAAGGCTAAGAGATATATACTGGCAACAAGATCTTCTTTATTTGCAAGAGAAGGATTTTACTGAAAAATTCCCAAGTAATTTTCACTCTATTCCTTGGAATCCTTCGTTTTATTTATTTATTTATTATTTATCCTTCGTTGCATTTATTTATTGTCTAATATAAATTATAAATTCAAATCACTATTTATTCAACTTCATCTAAATAAATATACAATAACTCTAAATGGCAAAAGAATTAACATATCGAATAATGCCAAATGTTCATTTTGCAAAATGATGGCGGCGATGATGATAAATCACTTGTTCACGAGTTGAGAATCTCTTTGTGAAATAAGATTAGATATTTTTGGGATTAATTACAGTTATACTAATTTATTAGAAGAATCTTCTAGTGCAACCACATTATATAAACTGTACAAGTTTTTTGTACACTCACTAAAACTTTTGTAATAACAATTTTATTTACTCCCTTGTAAAAAAATTTGTTAAATCAATAAACTATTATTATTATAATAATTTCATTATTATCTTATACAAAATAATTTAAAAAATATATTTTTAAGTTACATATTTATTGCTTTTTAGGAGTATCCTAATTACATATAAACATCTAACTTAAATTCTTTCAGACTGACAAGCTCATTGAGATCCAAATGTTTCATAAAATTTACAAAATTTAGAATCTGAGTTTAGACCATATTTAATTTTCATGGTTTTAGAATTTAAAATGTTTGATTTGTCCTGATTTGATTGCAGAATATTTCCAAAACCCAAAATTTCTGGAGAACATAAATTTTATAAACAAAATTTCCCGAAAAATTGTTGCACCTAGCATACAAAAGAAAATATTTTATGAACAAATTAATATTTACTATGTAGTTTGAAATATTCTAATTAGATAGGCCTATTGTATAATTGGCTGTGCAACACTAAATTGATAAATACATGTAATAATTTTTTAATGAAAAGAACACTTTAATTTAAGTGTTTATCATCATAGGATAGCATGTAGAATTATAAACTTGATATAATAGGCCTGTGTTGATTAATAGAAGTAAAATTAAGTTTGACTGCAACAGGTGTCATCACCATTGCCAGATAGATGGATGACCTATTTTTAGCACAAGGTACTAATTGGTGGATCTTTAATGTCCAAACAGAAAATTTCTTTGGCTTCTTTCACTATTTTAATTTTCCCTCAATCCTGTTTATGCAGTTGCCTAATCCTAAAAGTACTGAAATCAGATATGGTCTATATTCTAAATTTTGAAGTTTTATGGAATATGTTTGGAGCCTCTGATGATGGGCTTATTGGTCCAAAAGATTGTGTGTAATTAGGATACTATTAAAAAGCAATAAAGATGAAATTTGTTAATCTATGAAGGTGTGATTTCTTATAATTCATGTAAATTAATTTTTAAGTATTTAATACATTCAACAAAAATTTGAAAAGTTTGTTTTTTGTTTACATAAAAGCTAAAATACAATAAAAATTACTAATATTCAAAGATGTTTTTTGCGTTTCAAACTCAGTTTTAAAAATTAAAATATTAATTTTCCTGTTTATATCTTTCTGATCCTGTGACAAATCAGATTAGGGTAGTAGCAGTAGTAATTGCATTATTATTGTATATTTGTTTGTTTATACAAGTAATAAATTTAAATATAGTTAGTCTTTTAGAACTCGTTTACAAACATTGCTTTGCTTGAAAAATTACTTAAATTAAATTACATACATATGTTTGTAATTTAATTTTCTACCTAATCATAGGATTAGGTAGAAACTTTTTACAAAGATTAAAATGTGCTTACAATGTGTTATGAGATAATGTCAGATACAGAATTTCAAGTGACTTAATTGACAGTTCAGATGAGAACAATGGTTCTGAATAACAACAAAATACTGATCTACTTTTAGTATTTCATTATAAAACATTTAGAATAAATATTCTTTAAATTTAATTTTCTTCACAATGTTAGAAGCATTTGTAAGTAGGTTTTGTAAGAGTATTTTTATTGCTTGTACATATTTTTGTAAGATGTATTTTTATTACTTATACAAACAAAAATACACACACTATTTTAATTTAATATATTTTTTTTTTATAATCTAGCCTCATTATTTAGAATTTAATAATTTTAAATGGGTTTGTTATTTAATTTCAGTTTCTTAACTTGAGGTTTTTTTCATGCCTTAAGGCAATTATAGGTAACGTCCTTAAAACATGCAATAGAATAACAAGAATGGGAAGAATAACCTTGCAAAAATATTGATTTAAAAAAAAAAAAGACTCAAATTATTTTTCAAATAAAATTTTTAATACCTTTTTAACCGCTTTTAGTATTTACACACAATATTTTTCTTCAAACTCCACACTTCATAAAAGGAGCCATCTTATCAGTATATTTGATTAAGTATGGTCATTTAATGTTCAAAACTTGTCAATCATTAATTCTTAATGTGTCTTAAACCTTATAACTGCATATCTTATACTTTAAATAATATTTCAGTGAAGGTAAATGAATTACTTTAGTTAATGTTAAGAGAAAAGAATAGAAAGAGTTGGAACTGTTTTCACATCTCATTATAAATGATATATCAAGTGTCTACTTTCTATTCATATATATGATAAAAGATATATTTAATCACATGCCTTGATAGTTTGTTTGTCAATATAATTGAAATTCTTACTGTTATTATTAACTTTAAATATGTTTTTTTTAATATAATGATAACATATTCAATAGAGTAACAGTTGTTCTTGTGCACAATGAACCTTTTAGGTCAAGGTCCATTTGGCCTGCTGGGCTCTCTCCAGTACAATATACAATAAATCACAATTCACGAAATGCAGGATAATTTGTAATAGTAATTATTATATTTAAATTTTCAGATGATGATAATTTGAGAATTAAGTAATAAAAAGATGTTTTGGCAGAATAGGTTACAATTGATAAATTTTATTTATAATTTTATGTAAGCTAACATTAGTTCATAATGTAACATCATTTGCATATTTTGTATAAATTAAAATTGAGAGGGAATAAAGATAGAATAATATATATTTTAAAATTTTATACTGTTCTTTTAAAAAATTACACTAATTTTTACATTATTATAATTAAGAATTTTATTTAAATATATTTTTCTTAAATTGTGTATATAAAAATTTCATTGTTACAAGAATATTCCATTATAATCTTGAAAGAAGTATTTAATGTTTAAATCACTAGCTGCAAGAAAATAAAATTCTAATTTATGACTTAAGAGTTGACATTTTTATGGAATTTACTAGTGCACATAATATTCATATATATAAAAGTTTCCGATTCTATAAATAAAAATATTTAAAAAAAAATTCTGCTTTAAGTGTAAATTTCCTGATTCTGTATTTATAAAGGAACGGGAAATCATTACAAAATAAAATAATGATGCTATCCAAATGATTCAAAATTATGAAGAATGGACAAGTTAGACAATTTTGCAAGCTATACTAGGCTATAACTTATGTAGATTTTAAAATACAGTGGGTGATCAGTTAATGAACAAATCAGATAATGAACACTTTTGTGAAAGATTTTTGTGTTTGGCTAACGAATGCCTCACAGAACAAACACAAGAAGCAACGTAAAATAATGAATACCGATTGGTCTTCCTTTGTCTTCAGGCAACAATTCAAAACTTTTCGGAGCACGGGAGACATCGATATTCAACCTGGTATATACTGATCGGATAGTGTTCCCCCGAACTTTGAAATTCTCCCTTGTAATTCCAGTCTTTTATTTTTCTGACAGAAACAATTCTTTTATGTTTTCTTCTGAAAAAGCAAATTAATGCTGATATCTGTTATTAAAGATCTTTTGAAGAAGTGGGAGGATGTCAGAACAACTGTCTTAAAATGGCATCCAAACCAGATTGAGGTTAATAGACTTAGGGATCTCTACAATTACAATGCTATTAATTACTTGTGAAAAATCCTGAAGACGACAGAAAAGTAATCGACATTAGACAGATTCTTTAACCCCCATAAACAGAAAAAACATGACTGATAAAAATGCAAGACTGTGTATATATGTATTTTTATTATTACATATGAATAAACTTAGTAAGAAAGCATGTTTTTTTTTTTTTACCAGCACTAAAAATNTCCGCATTCCAATTTAAAGAATCCTGAGGGAGATCTCCTTTGAAGATTGAAAATGTTAGAATTTGCAATAGATTATCCTGGAATTTCTTTTAAGGTTCAATTCGTTGCTATGTTGAAATCTCTATCACTTGATCTGATGTCAGTTATTACAAGTATTAATCCACCACTGACATACTCAAACATTGTCATTGAGCACTGTGGCATCAGACTCGAAATTAAATCAACAAATGTTCAATTGGAAAATTTAAATTTAAATGAAAAGAAAGCAAAGTGAGGTGTATGGGCAGACCTACTTATTATGGTGTTCATTTAAATATGTTGATTTAAATACTGCCTGCTTTTTAGCTAAGATTTAAAAAAAAAAATGCTTAATTGTATTTATATTTATTCTATCCTCAATCAAATGATGTGAAAATGTTTTATACATTTGTAAATATTTCATTTGATGTTAAACTGCTACAATAATTAATACTTTATCAGTTATATTCAAATTTATATATATGTGTATGTAACCTTGTAGTGTTGGAAAAATTTTATGGAGATTATTTAGTCAAAATCAGGTCTTAAATTTTATCATTTCAAAATTATAATTAATATTTTTTTCATTGCTGTTAAACTATGAATAAACAGGTACATAGGTTTACATATATGTCAGATATGGCAACTTTTTTGAGTTTGCAAGCCATGTATGTTAGTATATGTAATTATATTTCAAATTATTTATTTGTGCCAAAGTTTTAGACATACAACAACTATTTTTAAAGAAATGAAGTGATTATACTTTAATTAGCATAAATTTAAAAAAGCTATTGAAAAAGGATGATTTATTGAGTTGAAGATAAAATTATAATAAAAAGATTAAGATAATGTTTAAAATTTGTACTGTAATAAGTAAACAAAATTCTGTGTGTTGTGTACCAGATATTTTTTTCCTGACGTGCCATTTTGGACACTCATTCCATAGGTTTGCCATTTCTGCTAAGTTTTATTTAGTGTATTGATACAATAAAATATTTTGTTTATATTTTTCTAAGGTTTAAAATTATAACTTTATTAATAAAAAGAAGTTTACTACTACTACTACTACTACTACTACTACTACTACTACTACTACTAATTCATGTATTTTGTGTGTAATGTTTTTCTTAAAGATAAATGACTTTTTGAAATTTTTAAACAATAACATAAAATAATATTTTACACAATAGACTATTATTTTAAGTCTCTTTCCTGTTGCTTTATCATTTCATTTTATTATATATTTTCCTTTTATTATTTATGATAAATGAATTTCATGGAGTTGTGTGATTTTAATATATTTTTCTTTTGTTACAGTTATTTGATGGCACCAGTTACACCTATACATATTTATTAGCAGATAAAAACACAAAAGAAGCAATTTTAATAGATCCAGTGTTAGAACAAGCAAATCGAGATGTTAAGTTAGTGAAGGAATTAGGATTTGATCTAATTTATGCAGGTAAATATTACCACTTCTAATCATTCATGTATTAAATTCATTAATTAAATAGAGAAATAATAATTTCATTATGATAATGGATGGTGAAAAATTTACCTATAACTTGGAAACTAATGAGTTGCAGAAGATAGAATCTTTTTTAGACAGAAACAGCACCCAGAAAGTTTAATAAAAGTACAAAAAGAAGATATATTTGTTAATAATTCTACACTGGAAATTTTCTCTTGGAACTGCCAGGGAACAATAAATATAACTCTAAAAGATCAAGAATTTGTTCAGATTCTGCAAACCTACAATGCTATTGCTGTAGTTGAAACCTGGTTGTCTTTTTCCTACAGGAGTAAGATCTTATTTCTAAATCCAAATTCATTTATACTAGAACAACTAGCAAGGAAACCATTAGGTCCAAGTCGACCATCACGAGGTCTAATCCTAGCAATTTCTTGTTCTCTAGGACAACCAGAGGTGCTACTGAAATCTGACAACTTTATAGCAGTTAAGCTTAATTCAAAAAATTTACTGAAACAAAACAACTTGGTTATTATCCTTGTTTATTTAAATATTCCTTATTACAATGAATTATTAACTGAAAAAATTTATACAGTCTTCTCTCAATAATGAAATACTCATAATAGCTGACACTAATGCACGAATAGGAGAGGAATTAGATAACCTTTATTATGGCCCTAACATTCATGTATTAAACACTAATAAATCTAACAACATAGTCTGTAACCTCAGAGGAAAAAATTATCTACAATTGATTAAATCATATGGTTTACATATATTAAATGGCCGATGCATAAATGGTCTATCTGGCAAATTTCACTTTTATTTCTTTGAACGGTATGTTGGTAATAGACTTGGTAGCATTAAATGTTAATCTGTTGGACAACTCGAAAGACTTCAAAATCTTGGACAAATTCAGTTCAGACCATTTTCTTACTTCTGCAATATTTAATTTTAATATGGGTAAAACACAGACATGCAAACTACAGAAAACTCAATATGTATGGAACCAGGGCAAGCTTGACAAATATGTTTCATCAGTCATCTCATTACATGATTTATTGAAGAAGAGGTTTTTATTGGATGTGTGGGATTTTTACTCAGAATTTTTACAAATGCTATTGACTTAAGAATGACCAAATTCACTAAAGCCTTTTGATAAACCATTGTTTGAGGTTAAAATGGAAAAAAAATAGTTTGTTAAGGAAATTCCACAGAAATAAATTGAGATCTGCTAGAAGAGTATTGCAAACTAAACAAAAGTTATAAGTCATTGTGAAAAGCTAAGAAAAAGTTACTTTAAGCCAAAATTAAGCTACAATTACAACATACAAAAAATACAAAAAAAATTTTGGTCATTGGTAAATATGGATGCACACATGTGGCGCAGCAAGGAAAAGTGATGTTGCAAATGCATCTTTGCTGCGCAGCAGCACAACCACACAAGTGGCACTCTGCTTACATTTCAGTGCATGCGTTCAGTATTCAAGATGGCAAATGATACCAACACTGCTGCTATCCATGTGTTTACAAGTTTTGTTTTATATGGCTTACTTTATTTAGCTAGAAGATCTGTCGAATATATTGGATTAGAGATATTTTCTTGGATGGAGAAAGACCTTGTGTACAAAATACGCTTATTCCTTGATTAAGATCTCTCGATAAAGAATACTATTTTGAGTAAGATTTGGTTGTTTTGTTCTTTGAATTAAATTAAATATGATTATTTGTGTAGAATTTGTGTTAAATTTATTATCCTTTCCTCTTTATTCTGATGTTAGTTATCTCAGTTAACCGTGTCGAACTTAAACCCATTAAAACACCATGTGATTGTATTTTCTCACATGACTACCAGACGAACTGTTATTGGCAGCAGTCTCCGCAAAAGATAGAATTTAACCAACTTTTGCAGCATGAGAAAAGCAGCACAAAATCAACTTCTGCAGCAAGAAAAAGTGACGTCATTCTGCCACTTTTCCTTGCAGTGCCGCATCTGTGCATCCAGCTTTATTGTAATCTCAAATGAGATTTGGTTTGTATTTTTGAAACCTCATTTCTCAGGGCTTCATACAGTTATTCTATTAAACAGTTTTTCAATTAGAAATATTCCTCTTCTAGACAATCCAATATCTCAGTCAGAACTAGAATACGCAGTAAGAAAATCAAAAGTTTGCAAATCACCTGGCTTGGATAAAATTGGAAACGAAATGATTAAATGTCTTCCAAGTGAAATATTAAATGACATTTTAAATCTGTTTAATTCTTTTAAATGATATGGCGAATTTCCTACTACTTGAAAACAAATCTGTTTTAAAATGCCATATAAAAAAAAGGAAGCAGATTGCTACCAACCAATTATTGTCCAATAGCTTTAATTAACATATTAACAAACTGTCTTCAACTATGGTTAGAAGTGAACAATATTATCACTCCTTATCAAGAAGCTTACGTCAGGAATAGAGATGTTTATTTTAAATGAAATTCTTCAATTAACACTATTAAGAAAATGGATAAAACTGTGTGCAGATTTCATAGATTTAAAAAAGCTTTTGATTCAATTGACCATGACATATTATGGTTCAAATTAGAACATCTATACATTCTAATTTGAACCATAATATGTCATTTCAACAAAGTTTATCAATCTACTAAAAATCTGTTTGCTAATACTCATTATTTACTAGAAGAATCTTCGTTTTGTACAGATTTTGTTTCATCTAAAAAAGGATTACCTCAAGAACCCTTAAGCCCATTTCATTTTGTCCTTTTTCTAAATGATCTTCTAAACTCTTTATAAGGCTAAACTTCTGCAATTGCAATTTCACCCAATGAAAATATAAGCTGTCTTCTTTATGTGGATGATGTTCTGTTAATGGCAAATTCAGTCGTGGCTCTCCAGGAGAGACTACATTTACTTCAAAAATATGGTCATAATAACTATTTAACAGTTAATTTGGAAAAGACAAAAGTAATGATTTTTCATAGAGGAGGTAAATTTAAAAAAATCAGATAAATTTTATTTGAAGAAACACAGGTTGAAAATTGTATCAAATTTTAAATATTTGGGAATTTATTTTACTCCTCATGGTTCCTTTTCTTTTCATTTGGAAAAAGTGAGAATTGAGGCCAAGGTAAATATCAAGTCTTTCTTTAGATTACTTGTCAAAATGAAAGAATCGTTGCTCAACAACTAGTTTAGATTATTTGATGTGTTAATAAGATCAAGTATTTTATGTGCATTTCCAATATGGAGGAGATTGACAGTTGATAAAGTGGAAAAAATACAATTATTTCTTTTTCAAGCAGATTTTTCATCTAAATCATTCTGTGCCTGAGGCCACGTTAAGGACGGAACTAGGAAGACCCCCTCTCGCTGTAAATTTATCATGAATTTAATATATATTTTTTTGTCAACTTGGACATTAATTGTTAATAGGACAATTGTCCTATTAATAATTAATTAATGTCCAAGTTGACAAAAAATATATATTAAGAAACTGAAGGACAGTAAGGCAATAATAATTATCATGAATTTACTTTGTTTTTGGAGGAAAATTATTGTGCTACCAAAAAATAACTACAGACAACTGATATAAACTAAACTCTTATCATCCAACAAAACAGTCTCAAAGGAAATGTTATCCACTACTATTAAGAATTTGCTGAATAACCTTGGATTATTGTTTGAGAGTTGTTTGGTTTATTCTGATGATAGAGCTTTTTTTAAAGGACTGTGAACAAAGGCTAAGAGATATATACTGGCAACAAGATCTTCTTTATTTGCAAGAGAAGGATTTTACTGAAAAATTCCCAAGTAATTTTCACTCTATTCCTTGGAATCCTTCGTTTTATTTATTTATTTATTATTTATCCTTCGTTGCATTTATTTATTGTCTAATATAAATTATAAATTCAAATCACTATTTATTCAACTTCATCTAAATAAATATACAATAACTCTAAATGGCAAAAGAATTAACATATCGAATAATGCCAAATGTTCATTTTGCAAAATGATGGCGGCGATGATGATAAATCACTTGTTCACGAGTTGAGAATCTCTTTGTGAAATAAGATTAGATATTTTTGGGATTAATTACAGTTATACTAATTTATTAGAAGAATCTTCTAGTGCAACCACATTATATAAACTGTACAAGTTTTTTGTACACTCACTAAAACTTTTGTAATAACAATTTTATTTACTCCCTTGTAAAAGAATTTGTTAAATCAATAAACTATTATTATTATAATAATTTCATTATTATCTTATACAAAATAATTTAAAAAATATATTTTTAAGTTACATATTTATTGCTTTTTAGGAGTATCCTAATTACATATAAACATCTAACTTAAATTCTTTCAGACTGACAAGCTCATTGAGATCCAAATGTTTCATAAAATTTACAAAATTTAGAATCTGAGTTTAGACCATATTTAATTTTCATGGTTTTAGAATTTAAAATGTTTGATTTGTCCTGATTTGATTGCAGAATATTTCCAAAACCCAAAATTTCTGGAGAACATAAATTTTATAAACAAAATTTCCCGAAAAATTGTTGCACCTAGCATACAAAAGAAAATATTTTATGAACAAATTAATATTTACTATGTAGTTTGAAATATTCTAATTAGATAGGCCTATTGTATAATTGGCTGTGCAACACTAAATTGATAAATACATGTAATAATTTTTTAATGAAAAGAACACTTTAATTTAAGTGTTTATCATCATAGGATAGCATGTAGAATTATAAACTTGATATAATAGGCCTGTGTTGATTAATAGAAGTAAAATTAAGTTTGACTGCAACAGGTGTCATCACCATTGCCAGATAGATGGATGACCTATTTTTAGCACAAGGTACTAATTGGTGGATCTTTAATGTCCAAACAGAAAATTTCTTTGGCTTCTTTCACTATTTTAATTTTCCCTCAATCCTGTTTATGCAGTTGCCTAATCCTAAAAGTACTGAAATCAGATATGG